GAGGCTCATGTTGTTAGCAATTGTTGGTTTGATTGTTCTATGCTTCTTGAAGTGTAATGGGTGTGCTTGAGTATTGACTAAAATAGATGAACTTGAAGTGTAATGGGTATGTAATGTTGTAGTTGGTCATTTGGATGTGTCTCTTTTGTGAATGCAATGGAAGCATCTCTTGTATTGGTGTCTTCCAAAACTATTTAATGTTATGGTGTATTGGTCAATTAATGAATGCAATGGATTATGTTACAAAGTCATGTTGTGTTTTTGATTATTTTGTGCACATTCTTGGTGCCATTATGGATTAATAAACAACCAAAAAAAACTAACACTTTAATTGCCAACCAAAATATAATAACACTGCAATTTCCAACCAAAAAGCATATATTGTTTGGATCATACATCCCAATAACAACCATAGTATCCTAACAATCCTAACAAAATATGTTCACAACAACCAAGTCAACAAAACATGTTCAGAGACAGAAAACAAATCATGTCTCTCCAAACCAACAACACAAAGCAACAACCAAGTCTACTGTTGTCTACAAGCTGGGGTTTCTTCTTCACTTCTGACAAGGTTGGGACTTTTGACAGTTCCTTCACTTCTAGCAATTGATTGGTCTGGCCTGTGTACAATCCCTCCTCCACTAATCATGAATCCTCCACCAAACATTCTTGAGAAGCTTGTAGCATCTGTGAGTGACCTCCCAGGTGGTCTCCATGTGGGTTTGTTAACCTCAGGAGCAGAATTGGATGTTTGATCTTGAGATTGTGGCATCTTTCTTACCTGGTTAACATTAATTACAATAATAAATATTTTAAGTACAACTTCAATATGTGCAAACAAAATTTAACCAAGAAAGCATCCAAATACTTACATCCAACTTCATTTTCAGACCTAAAGTTTTTTTTGTGCTCTGAACATCCTTGATGGTTTGAGAATTCTGTGTGTGCACAATTTATTCATTACCCGTGACCTTGTCAATTGACTAGAACAACAAATTAATTAGAAAATCAATAAGAACAAACACTAGCATCAAGAAAGACTCAAGTTTATATGCCAGTTAATAGATCCAGTTACCTTACTAGCCTTGGAGATGGTAGCTGAAGTGGAATTAATGTTCTTCTTGGATCTTGTGGTTGGTCCTGTCACTGTGATGCTTTTGGCCAATTCGTTTTTTGTTGAGACTTCTCTTGTGTTCTTGATAAGGGTATGTGACTTCTCAATTGAGGTGCTGGCAAACCTTGTGATTCTCTTTTCAATTTGAGTAGTCTTCATTGCATTCTTTGTCTCTGAGGTGTTTCTTCTGTTTCTCTGAGGAGGCTGCACAATTTATTAGTTAAGACAATCAATATTTAGGGTTTCCAACATTGAACATGTACTATAAAAAGTCAAACATACCCTTGCAAGTGGTTGTTCATTATTAGGCAGTGATGCATCAAAAGCATCAAATTCATCAATGACTGAATAAATCTCCTCCAAGCCCGGGTCAATGTCCATTTGGTCAGGGTCCATCTGCTGAGAGCCCATTTGGTCAGGTCCCATCTGCTGTTGGCCCATTTGGTCAGGTCCCATCTGCTGTGGGCCCATTTGGTCAGGTCCCATCTGCTGAGGGCCCATTTTCCTTTTCCTAAACATATAATAATCAAATTTATTAGATATCTAAATCATCAAAGTATGAATGCAAAAGAAGTACATAAATTAAATGAAAATACCTTTTGGCTGTTCTCATTCTTCTTAGAAGGGCAACCTCTGACATTGTGGTTCTTTTGTCCACAGTATGAACATGTCATTTTCACTCCCTTTTTGCCTAAGGTAAGTGGTTTTCCACCTTGTGATGGCCTCCCAGAATCTCTTTTACCTTCATCTGGATCTTTCCTTCTGTTATGTTTTCTTAGTCTTCCAGGCATCTTCTCAATCACTGGGGGGACAACAGGTTGCACATCCACCTCTAGCCACATTTCAGAGTCATTAATGACTTTCATCATATGTGAATGTGACCTTAGGAATGTGTTCCTACTGTAACAGTTATCTACAAAGTCTTCAGGATTCTTCCCCAAGTAAAAAATCCCACTTATTTGCATGAACACATGGGATACCAGTTAAATCCCACCTTCTACAGGTACAAGTCTTCTCTGTCAAATGAACCTTGAACCTAGTTCCTATTCCATTCTCTATCTCAAACTGATCCTCACCATTCCAATGAGCAAAAAAATCTGAAGCTCTATTTTTCAGCTCCTCCAAGATCTTAACAATCTTTGGACAGATAACACCATCATATTTTAACATTTGATCCCTTCTCTCATGCAATCTCTTCATGAGTATTAATTTGATCTGTTCTAGGAGTTCAAGAATTGGCTTCTTTCTGGCACTCAAAATCATGGAATTGAAACTTTCACTGTAGTTATTGTAAAGAATATCACTCTTGCTATGAGTTGAAAAGTGGGACCTTGACCAATGACATGGAGGAACTTGAGCTAACCACTGAAAGCTTTGTCATCTCTACTTTTCATCTCATCCATAGCCTTCTGTAGATCAACCACTCTTGATGACATTGCTGCCTTGAAGAGGATACCTTTCAGAGCCAAACCCCTGTAGTTTTGCTTGAAGTTACTGTACAGATGCATGACACAATACCTATGTTCAGAACAGGGAAGAATCTGTTCACTGCATCAACTAACCCCTTCTGCCTATCTGACATAACTGTCCACATGTGGGCTTCCTTGATGTTCAGATCAAGTGCTAAAAATTCCATAAACCATCCCCAACTGCTTTTTGTTTCCTTCTCAACAACAACATATGCAAATGGAAACATGTTGTTGTTTGCATCTAAACCTACAGCACTCAGCAACACACCCTCTGCAAAACTTTTTAAATGACAACCATCAAAACATATAAGAGGTCTGCAACCCTCTAAGAACCCTGATTTCAGTGATCTCCAACAAATGTAAAGTCTTCTAAAAACAGGTTTACCATCAATCATGTTAGACTTGATCTTCACTGTGGTGTTAGGGTTAGTGTCCCTAATTTCTTTTGCATACCTCCACAGCAATGCATATTGCGCACTATCCACTAGACTTCCCATTTTTTTAACCCTCTTTTTGGCCTTGTACATCATACTCTTGCTCATAACAAGTTTCTGCTCCTTCTGTGTCACTAACATCATAGAATCTATTGGCCAATTTGGATCACTCTAAAGTTTATCCTTGTAGGTTCTTGCAAGCCAATCACTACCAGCATGAGAAACTTTTTGTTTCCTGTTACACCTGTGTTTCCCATTGAAAGTTTTTACAACCATTGTGACCTCATCCTGCTTCTTAGAGGCATAAATCACTCAGGGACAATTTAGTTGTTTGCACTTGGCTTGAACCTTGGTTTTCTCATTAATAGTGAAAATAATATCCCTACCTTGTTTCCTAGAATGCTGTCTCACAGCTTCTCTAAAGGTAGGTGTATCACTAAAGTTCATGCCTACCTCAAATTTAGGGTCTTCTCTATCTAACTTGGGGTTAAAAACTGGATAACCATCATGCATCTGAGTTTTTTTCTTCCCCTCACCCACAGAAAACTTACCATGGACTTCTGACCCGTTCTTCTCTCTCAAGTTCAAACCACCCAACTCAACTTCAACATCTATATTGCTATCAAACAGAACATCATCATCTGATACATCATAATCACTTTCACCTACATAATCAGAAATTTCTGAGTCACTAACAGTTTCACCTGAATGATCATCTGATACATCACTATCACTTTCATATGTTTCCCTATCATCAATAACATCTTGTAGGTATGTTCTACTTAAACCACCAGACTCATTCTCATTACTACCTACAAATGCATTTTCTTCACTGATTCTCTCCTCAGAACTTTCTAAGTTCCCAACAAATGGCAATGGTTCAACTACATTTGGAAACTCAGACTGATTACCACTACAAATGAGGGGCTCATGTTCAACAAACAAACTGACAACTCTATCAGAATCCAACCATTGCACCAAATTCATAGCATCCAAATCATTCCCAAGTAGTGACAAATCAGAACAATCAGTCATTCTTCTTTTGCTACAGAATATTTTACCCACATTATCCAAGCCAATTTCTTTAACCATAGACAATATCTCAACCATTGACATCAAATCTTTATCACAATTGTCAATGAAATCAATAGAACCACCACAATACACATTTCGACCCACACTTACAATTTACCAGAATGATTGAATGCAATCGTAAAAACTTCAGCATTATCACCTATAAAATAATAAAAAAAAAACCTCAGAAAACAAACAAAAAAACTAAGCATGATAAAACACCTTAGAAATCAAACAAGAAACTAAGCATGATTTTTCATATGTTACGAAAAAGGTATCAGATTGGAGAGGTAAACACTTACAGTGTGCTCTTGCTGACTGAGACGATTTTGGCCGCAACTTCCAACTCATTGTTGAGCTAAACCTAAAATTCGTACTCACAGTATGCTCGATTTCGTATGTCGATTCAGAAGGTAGTGAAATGATTTTCAATTATGAGGCAAAGAAGAAAACCCTCATTTCAATTTTTGTTCACTCAAACCCTAATTTGACAAGAATCGTTCGCTGATTTTGGAGAGAAATGAAATTGGAAGAAAAGGTAGGTCAACCGTCAACCGGAGGTGGGCTATTTATATTGTGTTCGAAACCGGATTCTAACATGTGAAACCAGACTTAAAGGTGGTGTGGGGGTATATTGACAAGCCCGTGTAGTTTAGAGGGTGGTTTGCAAAAAAATAAAGTTCATATAGTGATGCGCCATTTTCGCGAAAGTTCAGATGGAAAAAAATTTTTATCCCTAATTATATTTGCATGTCAAACAACTAATTATTTAGCGAACTCTTATATAACTATTTATTTAGTTAACACTATGTATAACTAGTTATTTTGGCCACTTAATCGGGCACTCGACCGAGTCGCCATTTGACCACCAAAATAGTGCCTTGAAAAGGTCACCTTTAACCACAAAGTCTAATAATTAGATGTGGCCCGTGACCGAACCGGAAAGTGCTTAGGGCCGGTTCATCGGACTAGCCCGGTCCCGCCGATTCTCCAGTCTGCCTGACCCGTAGAAT